TGACTTGGGGAAACGTCTCCTGCCTTGTCACCCTTCCATCTTTTGAGAAACTTAAAAGCAAACAATAATATTAGCCTAAATTGTATGTCCTGATTTTTATTTTTGTGTTGTTAATTAATAGGCCTAAGTTTTAAGTTTTAATTTTCGCGCCGCAAATTTAGGCTGTAACGATCAAGAGTAAACAGTCATTAAGAAACTGTAGGTAGCGGTATCTTTTACTACGAAGAAATGGGAATTCCGAACTAAGCAATGCGCATGTGCAGTTACCAAATAACGTCCGTGAATTATCTATAAAAACACGTAGAGCTGGAAAAGATAGACAACCAGTGAGCATGAGCAAAATACGTCTTAGGAACCAAATAGCAGCTGCGAAGAGGGTATGATTACCGAAAAATCGTCTGAGGAACCAAACAGAGGCTGCGAAGAGGGTATGAAATAGAAACGGATAGAACTTTATATGCTACCATTGAGCATGCACAATTCAGCTAAAGCGATCAGGTTATGGATGGAAAATAATGAGAACTCGAGCGGGTCAAAAAGCCTCTATTTTGACTATCTTTACTTAAATAAGTTTTTACAATTGAATACTAATGTGCTAAAATAATTTCAAATTTATAGTGAGTGTATAACATAATAATAATTACAGTGGCGGATTCAAGGGGGGGGGGGGGAATCCGGCCGCCCCTCCCCTAAATTATTCAATCTTTTTTTAACAAATGGAGATATAAAGAAAGTTATATTCAAATTTAAGTCTGAGGGTGCAATTTCCGGCCATCTAGAGATGCCATAATCACATTTTTTTAAAACCCAGGCCTTAACCACTATGTGGCCGAGGTGGTATAGATCCTCCATCTGTCAAACTACCTCCCTGGGTTCCCTCTACTTTGCATTCAAAGGTCAACCGCCTATTTGGGACGCTAAGCAGGATATTTGCAGAAAAAATGCAAGTGTTTACTATAAATATTTACATGTAAATATTTATTACAAATTCTCATAATTGCACATATGAAGGATCAGATGGCCTGGCAGTGTCAAAGGCTAGGGTCAAAGTTGGATTTGTAAAAGGTTCAGTATAATTAACATTCATTCATAATTAATTTTTTTTAACATTGTGCATAAATAATAATAAGTATAAAACATGAACTTAAGTAAATCAAAATCACATATTTATTGCCAAATGACATTTCGGTGTCATTAGGTCAAAGGTTAACCTCTTGTTTCGGCAGTTAAGCAGGATATTTTAATAAAAAATGCGAATTTTACTCTAAATATTTACATGTAAATATTATTGAATACAAATTATCATATTTGCACACAAAAAGGTTAAACCTTGCAGTGTTCAAGGTCAAAATCAAAGTTGGATTTGTAACTAAACTATAACAGCATTCTAAATCTATTTTGAAAATTGTGAAGTTAATGTATGACAATAACAATAAAAATCACTATGTCAAATATTTTGCAAGTAAAAATAAACAAATGAAATTAATTGAATCAAAACTGCAAATTTCATTTACTAAGTTACTTTAGTGTCATGGGGTCAAAGATCAACCTTTCTGAATATAGTTATACAGGTTTTGATGAGATCGATTAAAAGTTAACATATAGGATAGGGATGGCTGAAACTTCAAGATACGTACAACATGGCTCCTCTCAATGCCAACATTTTCCCATATTAACACTTAACTTAAATAAATATATGTAAGAACATCCAAAAATCAAAATAAGGAGATACACCCTGTAGACGTAAGAAAGAAAATCAAGACACCGAGTTCATTTTGGTATACCTTGTAGAGTACTATGATCCATTTCAAGTGATAGACAACCTGTATGACATATTCATGGGTATAACACCATCTGTTTCAAATGTTCACACAGCAATCGGCAATAACATTGTGAAAAAATGGAGGGACAAGAAGTTTCATTATTTGTTTTCCACAAGATAGATCATTCACCGAACGGATTGGAAGAAAGGAGATACATACATCAAAATGAAGTATGAATTAATTAAATTTACACTTATTCATTATACAAATCCTTACTGGTACTTCGTCGTCCAATTTCTTTTTGTTTTTTCCCCTCCTCTCTTCCTTCTCGTTGATGTGAGTGATGTCAGTTCAAACAACATGCAATGTAAAAACCGTGAATCCCTCAAGAATAAGGGGGAAAACAAAAACACATAACAAAAAAAATCTAAATGTATGTATCTGAATGTCATGTGATTTTTAGAAACATGGTATCTATTATTATACCAGTCTCGAAGCGTTCGAAGAGTGGACTAGCTCGTACAGTAACTTCCGTCTCCCCTAAAGTACCACTGAGGGTCACTTGGTGTCTAAGCTACCCAATAAACCAGTTTCAGCTACTCCCGTTTGTTCATCAGGGACTGATGGACAAGCTTCCTTTCGTCTCGAAAGATGCACATAGTTGTGTGCACTGTAGGCCTACCTATGGTTTAAAGTCCTTCCGAGTCCGGGAAGACTTGTTCAACCAAGTCAACCATATGCGAGTGTACCGCTCAAACCAGCACCATTATTACGCTGTATGCTTTGGCGTCCTTTACCTTCACCAAGTGTGGTACCTGTCGCTATAAATGCAAAAAAGGTCCTATGTTTTATTACGTTTTGGCCGTAATTGTAGGGCCTAATAAATATCCTGACTTCTAGTCCATGGGCTAAAAAGGTCGTAAGTGCAATATTAGCCTTTGACACAAAATGTAATAAAGGCCTAAGTTAACAGTGGCAGATCCAGAAATAGAAGAACCCTGAAAGTCAAGTTTACATATAAATAGTAAGGCCACCTCAGCCCAACAATGGTTGGTGCAGCTGCTGAGATAAAAAATGTCATGTATGGAACTTCTAGCCGGCCGGAAATGGCACTCTCGGACTAAACAATATTTTGGAAAAAGATTTGGAGATTTTTTTTCGAAATTACCTTTTTATATGATTATTTTTTGTCACATTCATGGGACAAAACATTATTAAACTATAGATCGTTTATTGTTTTTTGCTCAAGTTTAAATAAATTTAAAACTTCCTAATTTAAATAACGTTTGGACACTAACGTAATAAAGGTTATATTATCAATATCTATCATTGCTGTAATAATGGTAACTAGCATAATAACTTAATACTTAATAGGTTAGTGTCGGAACTGCGCACTCGGTTGTGCGTGGAATATTTTTGTTAACTAAACAATCAAAAGATTGCCCTACCAACATTGCTTTTAAAAAAAAAACTGGTAGATTTTTTCCTTGTCCTTGTTTTTTTTTTTTTTTTTTTTTTTTTTTTTTGCGTCCTCGTGATATTTTTTTTTTTTTACTGTGCATCATTTTAGTTGATAACAGAAAATAATGAGATAATGATTTTCCATTTTCTTTTTTCTTCAATTGGTGGTGTTCTTGTGTTTATGGGTATTCTTTTTATTTATTTTTTTATCCTAACTGATAACAATTTATTTATTGAATTTTAGATATTTAAAATTTGCTTCTACTTGTGATTTAAATTCTGAATTAGAATTATATTTTTTATAAATGTTTGTAAATAATGATAAATTGTAAATATATGAATGAATATTTGACATTTAGAAATTGCCTGTTCTTGTGATTAGGATTTTTATAATTTTTTTGTAAATAGTAATTATGGATAACTGATAATATTTGTATATATAATGATAATGATATTCTTAATTTTAATCGGCTGGTTTTTTGTTTATTTATCTATGAATGTATTTTTATTGTGCCTGTTTGTGTTTCTTACTCTGAATATTTTGTATTATCCAATCTGTTATACGATTGCAATGAAATGAGTTATGAGTTATAAGTTATGAGTTATCAAAGCAGTATAATAAAAGGGAGGCGTTGGGTGAGCACTCCAATACAACATATTTGCGCTCTCTTCCCTAAGTAGTTACAAATACCTCGTAACAACACTAAATCTCCCAATTAGCACCTTCTCACGTGTTCAACTTTACTTGGATTATATTGTTTACATTAGCCTATTATTGAGATTGAGGAATTGTTAGAGCATGCTTACTAATAGATAATATTACTGAGTACCTGGTTGAAATACCGGGAAAGTTAAAAGGCGGCTTGGAAAGGAACTGGTCATCTACAACATAATGTGTTGTGGATTAGTATGAAGGGTACCTACCATTGGCGAGTCGAGTGTCCAAGCGGTAAGGGCCGCCGCTAACTACAGCCTTAACATCATCGCTGATTCGAGTTGCTCCTCGTCCAGTTTCAGTTGGTAAAACTAAGTCTTCTTGGATAAGGGGACTTAAAAACAAATGGAGGTCCAGTGTACACATCTGGCTCATGTGCACTTTAAAGAATACATTCGGAAGCGTAGGGATTACTTCGATGGATGTGGTTTATTTCAGCCCCTGTCCCCTTTAGGTAGTCACCGACCACGCCCATACGCAAATTCAGCACAATGACGCTACGAGTTATGAGTTATTCTCCTACCTTTACCTCTAAACTTACTACTATAAACACGAGACTACATTTTGCCTTTTTACGATTAACGTTTAGCTGGAGTTTAAGAATAAAAGGTGCTCACCCGCATTATTCTTATTCTTAATGAGAGTGTTTGGGTGATAATCTAATAATTTACATGGTCTGAATGAAAATGAAATTTACTAATAGAACTGATCAATGTCATATTTCACTCTTGCCGATTAAATGTGTTGAAATAAGATAGCATTCGAGGGCTTATTTCCTTAGAATTCTCGTCAATATGATTTATTAGGCCACACATCAATATGACGTAGTTCGATAAAAGTAATTTGTGGTTTACACATATGTGTTTTTAAGTGACATGATACCAAGTACCACTGCATTATGTCAATAAGCCTGTTCTTAAAAATCAATTAGAAGTAATCATTCAAACTTGCTATTAAGTACGAATGAACCAGATATATAATGAAGTTATTTATGGATGAAAAACTTCATTGACGTGCCGAAACACAGTGAATGGAAAAAGAAATACACTGGAAGACAGAACTCGGTGGAACGATTCTCAGAGCTCTGCTCATTCAATTTAATGCGTTTTGGTTATAGCCTTCGCACGGCACCCAATCTAAGTAACAGTAGGCGGCGTTAATAAGACTTGTAATTTGTTTAGGACTATGTGTTCTTCGCAGGGAAGCCTAAGGGAAAATCAATAAATCTACGAATTTATTCCAATTTTAAAACAATATAAAACAATACGATGAGAACAAGTTGCAATATCAAATCAAATAAATGAATTGGAAATGGCCTGGCAAAATAAGCTCAGAGCTTTAAACATAAACCCAAAATAAATAGAACAGAACAAGAAATAATACTTAACATAAAATCAAATTATAATCCTTAATAACAATAACAAAGATGATGTTTAGTACAATACTTATTTAATAATTCTTGTTTAATACATTGCTTAAAATTCCCTACATTATTATTTAAATTCTTTAATAATATGAAGAGATTATATATATTTTGTTTGCACAAACTAAGAGACTATATGTCTACACAATGAAACCCATAGACGTATTAAAACATTAAACTAAATTTATCTGTTAAGGATTTAAGTATGGCCTACCACCATCAGTCTCACGAATCATGCCTCAAGTTGCTTACTAGGCCATAGGAGAGAAAGCTTCCAAAACCGTTTACTAGGCCATGTGAGAGAAAGCCTACAAAACCGCGGACACAAACCATCGCATTAATAAACAACTTACTAATATTTCCATTGCTTTAACATTTAAAAAAATCATGGAATCCATTATTATCACTTGATGTGGTTAACTAACCGATTTCAGCTGTAACATGAAGATTACGAAAAGCCAACGGAATATATTTATTAAAAATAATAGAAAGATTATAACTATAACATTTTGTGTTTTCTTAAATCATTATGTTGGTTGATTTAGCATATGGACCAAGGCGGGCCTGTTTAATGATTTTAATGTACTCCAACGGTATAGGCCTAGCATTCGTGTTACTTCAAATATTTCAATTTCTATAAATTCAATCAATGATTTTGCGACCTCACGTTTGTCTGTATCGTGAATTCTCAAACATACCTCTATGTTCTTCAAAATTGCAGATGCATTTTCCCGATCTCCCTCTTTCAGAGATACTCTGGCCATTATATAAAAGACAAGTACAACTGGATGAATTGTAACGCTCCCTCCATAAGAGCTCTGGGCAAGTTGCAGAATGTATTTATCATCAGCCCACGCCCTCCTCATTACAAGTGAGTTTGCAGTTAACTCAATACCAACTAGCCTATTCATCACATCTTCATTTTCTGCAATTTTCATAAATACAGGTTTACACTTCATTAATGTCTCTTTTAATGCCTCATTATTCCCCATTAAATAATGGTATTTTACTACAAGAGCTTTACCACCTATACCCTCGTCACTCCATTTGTTAAGAAACACCATTTCTGCTCCTAATGCGTAGTAATGCAATATTTTACTTCGATAATGAGCCAGGTCTTTATAAGGACATATTCTTCGCAAGTAAATTAATAAGTAAGTATACAGATCACCTAACTTTCTATACAAAATCGTCTTAATCATTTCTACATAATCCTTCACCACTATCTCCTCAATACCTTCTACAACTGGCATTATGATTTCTTCTGGAAATCTCAGAATTTCAGACGGGTGATCACAGGTCTGGATAAATTCATCAATTATAAAATTTTCAAAGTCTGATTCTAATAAAATCGCAATTACTTTATGATCCAAGAGAATTATATTATGATGTAGCCAGGAAATAAAATGTTCATAATTCTCTGTAAAGCTCTTATTCAAGATATAATTAAACTCCTGCGGTTCTTTGAATATGGCTTCTTCTTCTTTATCCATTTTCTTGGATGTAGGCCTATTATTAATAATAAACCAATTTAGGCCTTCCAAATCAGCTTCACCACTAAACTTATCAGTACTTGACTCTAGGATTTCCCAAAAATTAGTTCTAACTGATGTCAACTTTGCAATGACGTCATCACAACATCGACCAGATAAATGACCAATCAGATTTTGTTTTGGAATGAAATAATGGGGCAGGTGTCTTTCTTGATATCTGTCTATAAGCCAATCCAGTACACTTCTAATAAAATTCATAGTACTGTATTCTTCATTCGGTAAAGTTTCACACATCCACAAGCAAGCTGTCTTTAAAAAATATGTGCAGAATGGCGTTGGTTCTTCAGTATCATTGTAAACGATGTACATTTCTTTCACTATCTTCAGAGCAACCATGCATTGACCGTATGGTTCATACATATTATGAATAAGTTCTCTCTCAGCTACGGAAAATGACAACCTCCATTCAATCTCTTTTGACTCGCTATTTGGGTGTCCAATGGGGACTACAAGACACTTTAGACCTTCTAGTTTGACTAGCAACTCCTTTGATGGCCAGCCGTTCAGCCTGCTTCTATTAAAGAAATTACTAGTGAAAGGAGGCCATTGTCTGCATTTCAAACTATACACCATGTCTACCTTTACTGCTAATTCATGATTCACAGGTCCCATAAACAATAATCCCGCTAGTGAAGGGCCATGTACCCTACGATTCCATATCACTGGCATAGACTCGTCTCTATGCAAATTATTGATGAAACTTTTATTCCTTAGATACCCATCGCCATCAATGCTACGTCTAATATCCTCATTTAGACATAATTTGTCAGCTACTCTAAGCCTCACATATGCTGGTTCATTTATATTTTGCTCAGCCATTACAGAACTTCTGGATTGCCGCTCCAATTTTAATTTAGATTGCCAAAACACAACTGGAAAATTTCGTTTAATTACCATAAAGTCCAAATCACTACAGAATGGGAATGGTAGCCCTTCAGGCACACTCCCAACTATAAATAGCTGATTAGACCACCATTCTCTGCGCACACGGTTAAGTAGTTTCTGAATAACTCTAGCCATAGATATTTGAAACAATCTGCAGTCTGTTTTCAACATAAGTATATTATTGGCAACTTCTTCGAACAGTTCTTCACGGGTGCTGATCTCCATTTTGTTGACCGAGGTGAGTTGTATGATGCGAAAAATACTCAATTGAACTCGACTAATAAAATATCTCATTGAAACGTTTATGGTCTGATTGCTCTTTATTATAACATAAAACACGGGGTTCTGTTTTGTACAACTGCATTGTGATATTTGTTAACAATTTGCATAACATAAACTACGGAAGCTTAAAGTGACCTTCCGCGTTTCCGAGTTTCCAAGATAATTATCATGGAAACATGGACTAAATACTTATTAAGACGTCTTTCCGAGATAAATTATCTCGGAAAGACGGATTTACGAGATAATTTATCTTGGAAAGACGGAATTCCAAGATAATTTAGCTTGGAATGACGGAATTTCAAGATAATGTATCTTGGAAAGACGTCTTTCCAAGATAATTTATCTTGGAATTCCATCTTTTCAGTATAATTTATCTTGGAAAGACGGAATTCCAGGATAACGTATCTTGGAAAGACGGAAATCCAAGATAAATTATCTTGGAAAGACGTCTTTCCAAAATATGTTATCTTGGAAAGACGGAATTCCAAGATAACATCGAGGAGACGAAATTCAAAAATTCAAAGACAGCCTGAAAGCTGTAGTAATTATAAGGAAAGTTGAGCTATATTTTGAAGGCCTTTTCTATGAATGGATTGACCTGCGGCTGCACGATTAAAATCGTAACGGTACTGGGTTCGGTCTTCAGGAGTTCGTGTTTCGTACAGGTCAATCCATTCATAGAAAAGGCCTTTATTGGAGAAAGCATACCTGTCGTTAGCCATAGTACCCTAGGTCAATACTCACCCCGGCTATATAAAATTGATTATAAAATTGAAAAATATTAATCTTATTGTAGTAGTGATACTATGCATAGGCGTAGATCCCGGGGGGATGGAGGGGATATATCCCCCCAATATTTGACAAGGGGGGGATGGTCCATTGTATCATCCCCCCAATATTTTGACTATGTATGGGATAAAATGGAGCTTTACACACTTCAAAAGACTGTCACAGAAATAATTTGCACTGTCTTATGCGCTTACAAAGATGAAAATTAGCATAATGTATTAATGTTGATAACAAAATTATTTTATCTGGTACCAATCTAAGCTCTTCTTTCCTTAGATGTTAGATGTGCTTGCAAAGAGAGCCACATTTCACACTGAAGGGTGTGTACGACATCAGTAGTGTTATATCAATTCCAGGAATGTTTAAGGTTATATCGGTTGATGAGGAATTTATTGATTAGGCCTATAACAGCAAATTGCATCAATTTATTTTGCAAAAACAAGGTTTCCAGCTTCAGAGGGGGAACATCTCCTGTCCGCAGAAGGGCACACATTGGAGCTAACACCAGGCGCGTAACAGGGGTCTTGGGTCAGAGTGGGTATATTTTTTTTAAATGTTTTATTTCAACCATTTTTAAAGAGGGTAACCCTTCTAGTTTAGCCAA